CTTGATTAGCAAACTAGACATAGAGCCAGGAATTAAATTAATTTATCAGCGGAGGTCTTGCTCCGTGCTGAAAGTGCCTTTTAGCAGGTATGCGCTTCAAAACACAAATGATCACCAAAAAAACCACACATCAGAGCAGTGGCTGCATACCTGCCAGCCCCTCACAAGAGAAACCTGCAGTGAAAATTTGTATATCCACCAAGACTGAGCTGAGAAGACCTATTCCATGGCAGCCATCGGTTGCTTTGTAAAAACTGATGGACGTTTTAGAAGGTGCTGGCTCTGGAGCTGGGAATATGGGCAGGGTGTGTGTCAGGCTTGGAACAGCTGGCTTGGAAGCTCACACAAAATCAGCTACAACGGTGCGGCCGGGCCAGGACACCACCCAGCCAGCAGCCGTATGCTTTTCCTTTGTGGTTGCAGAGCTGTTCCAAAAGCTAAGCTTTCATTCCAAAAGGAGGGGAAAAAAAAAATACCAAACCCAAGTCTTCAGCCCATCCAAGTCTAGACCGGCTTCTTCTACGGTTGGAAATTACACAGTTTCAGTGTTCGGCGACAGCGTGGACAGAAACACGCAGCGCCCCGCTCTTGGCCAACCTGGTCCCTGAAAAGGCGTCACTTTTTAGCCTGTACAAGGGCAAAAATCGTCCAAAGGGTGGATCTGCTCCGATGCAGAGATGTGCGCTGATGTGCAGCCAGGCTTAAAAACCGCAGCCGCCGGCGATGGGAACTGGCTGGTCGAGCGCCGGCAGCACAAAGGACGGCGTCAGGATGGTTCAAATGCAGCCGTTAACCGCAGCGCTGCCGGTAAATGCTACGGGAGGCTGTCACGCTGGTGCTGTCCTCGTTCAGAGAGCTCTCTGAATGCCAGTGGTCTCTTCGGTCACCTTCCGAGGGAGGGGGAAAGGACACAAAACCCAAGAAAAACCACCCCCATCCAAACACCTGAGCTGAGCATCAGCACGGTCTAAGGATGAAACCAGACTGGGCACAGAGCAACGGCAGAACAGCCTAATTCCTGGAGTTTTGAGTACGGCACTGTATAAAGCACAGTAGATTAGATTTGTTAGTACTAACATTTCACACCCGCATTCTCAGCAGTTCCTTGCCGCTATGGGTGCCATTACCATTTTCGTTCAGACTGATTCACACATAGGTAATTCTGGAACACCCGGGAACAGCTCTGCTGACAAATTCCCCGTTTGCCCTCACTCCCCCAAGTCCATCTTCTGTTGTTTGTTATTAAAAATCTTCCAGTATAGAAAACACATTTTTTTAAACAAGTATGCACTATCACTCTTAAAAGCTTTCCTTCATTTCACAATGTTTTTGAACAGCATAAATAAAGCCAAATAAATTTTATGTGAGTGACAACATGGTTTTTCTGTTCAATTTTTATTCCAGTGCTCAGTATCTCCTGATAAATAGTTAAGAGAACTATGCATAAACTACACCTCATCTGCAATGTAAAGAAAATGGAAAACTTTGTTCCTCCAGCATATAAATCACCTGAAAGGCAATGGAAAATACTTAGCTGCATTTCTCAAGCAGCTCACACATTTTCAGGATTTTTTTGTGCCTCTGAACACTTGCTTGACTTGGGATTCTTCAGTACTCAAAACAGATTACTCTTCAGTGGCTAAGTAACATTACACAGCAGTTTAAAAGCATTGCATTAACTCTAAATTTGTTAGCTAGCTTCTTTCAGATAAAGGTATTTCCAGAACATCTGCATCAGTAGAGTAAGAAGCTTCTTACATAACTGCTCTAGGTGTGTGGGGGGAAAAATCTGAAGGCTTTTTAATATGGTCTTTCCTAACTGAAGTTCTTGGGAATTCATACCGAAGTAGGAACAATGGATTCATTAAATAGTTCACTTTCACCTAATGCCTCCTGCATGCTTCACTCTTAAGCTACAAAGCTTCAAGCAACCACCTTTCCATGCTCGTTTGTGGTCAAGGGAGAGATTTCTGTTTGAAGTCAGAAGAAAAACCCTTCCCTCTGCTTGTGCAGGTCGTGAGCCAAAAGAGGAGTTTGACAAACTGAGGTTCTTCCTCCCACCCTGTTCAATAGCTTAGAAGTGTCTGAGACAAATTTAGGGACTTGAGGATTAAAATGAAGAAAATGAAGGGACAGAGAAGACTGAAGTTTCCAGAAATATGTAAATCACTTCATTCTCACTGGATAGGTCTTAATAAATCTTAGAATTGGGCAAAAATCCATATCCCCAGTTCTAGCCAGAAGCAAGTGTTCAGAGGCAGAGAAAGATTAGCATATGCTCAGTTCAGACCTGCTTATTTATTTTGTAACATGTTTTTACTGAATTAAATCAACCCGTCCTTACCATTTTATCAACATGAGGAATTCTGCTTCTTTAAGACAACAGCCTCCCCCGGTCGTTTTTCTGAAGCCAACACCTCAGTCTGTTGCCTGTTTCCCCAACACAAGGGGAAAATGTTCCCCAGAGGCATGAGTAAGATAACAACTTAGTCCTCTTTGCTGATGAAGAACCTTCAGATCTTGAAAACACCCTTCCCCACCTCGGTGATTTTTTTTGCCTTGTTAAAAGATTAAAACCTGAAGTTACATACACCAGTCTATGCTACAACAATCATAGAATCATAGAATGGTTTGGGTTGGAAGGGACCTCAAAGCTCATCTGGTTCCAACCCCCCTGCCATGAGCAGGGACATCTTCCACCAGCCCAGGGTGCTCAGAGCTCCATCCAACCTGGCCTTGAACCCTGCCAGGGAGGGGGCAGCCACAGCTTCTCTGGGCAACCTAGGGCAAGGCCTCACCACCCTCATGGTGAAATTTAAATTTATGTACCAAAACGCACAGAAGCCAGGAAATGAAAACTCGTTTCCATCGGAACATTAATAGCCTTCTCACTTCATTGTCTACAAGCAACTGAACGCATAGTTCACCAGTGTGAAGTAAAAGGTTCTTCGCCTTCCCATTTCATTAGCTGGCAGCTTTAAAACTCACTACTAACATGGTCCTGTCACATTTATCCTCAAGAGAAAATCACAGACCGACTGACCTACAGAGCAGTCCCTGCATACATCTGAAGTGTATTCAGAGTTGGCACTCACACCTACTGATGAACACAAACATTCCAAGTGGAAGTGTTTAGGAAGAAGTGCTGAGGCAGCCCTAAGCTATGCTAATGAAACACTGATACATACTTTAATGCCTATATACAAGCCCAGTAACAGTAATGGGACACAGGGCACTGATACGCCAACAGGAACGATTTCACCCTTTATTAAGGACAGCCTGGATTTCACTCGCCTGCTGCGCTTTGTGCTAGAGAGCACATCAAGGGGACAGACAGGGTGTTTGGAAAGCTCAGTTACGATGACCGGCTCTAGCTTTATTTTCTGTCCACAGCGTTGGATATACGCCAGAAGGATGAAGACCTTCAGATGCTTACTCCTTACAGTCCCTCACTTGCAAGTTTAACGCCTTTGCTCGCCAGAGGCCCTTTCCAGCTCAGAGCACCCTCAGCTTTTGTGCTGCACAAGCTGGCAGCAGGGTAAGCACACACCTCGGCATCGAGCTGGGCTGCTCAGGGCAGTCGGTGCAGCCAGGCTATGGGTCCCCACCCCGAGACACGGTCAGAACAGAAGGTACTACACAGGAAGTTCTCGGCCTGCCCGAGGTGTAACCCCGACGCCACATTGCTAAAGGTACAGGCAGTCCTGCTGCCCACAACAGACAGATCTCGGCGCGGTTTGCGGCTTCTTGTTTTCCCTGCCGGTATCTTGCAGTGTTTGAGTTGACCATGCCTATGTATCCCCTCTTCCTCAAACCATATTTATCAACAGTAATTTGTAAAAAAACCCTATGAGAAAAGAAAAAAACCAAACCCTCTGTAAGAGCAAAGGCCTTTGTTACATGTTCTCTTGATTTAGACTCAAATTCAGCTGGAGTGGTTAACAACCAGTAATGCAGTCTGTCCGATCTCCGAATCACTTACTGGGGGTGGGGAAGAGAATGGGAAGTTTCACTTTTCAAACATGGGAAAACTTGATTTGGTCTTATCCTGGAGGCGATTCTTCTAAAATCATGATTTGGAAAACAGAACACCCTAAAAAACACAAAACTGTTAAAAGCCAAAAAGAACAACTTAAAAAAAACCCTTTTGTTTACAGAGGATATCTCTTGTCTTGCTTTATACACATTTATTACACTAGAACATCTGACTTCTATACAAAAAGATGCTGTAGAAAACCACAAGACCATAAATACTAGATTTATGATTTGTTTGCAATTATATTTAATATTAATAGTACTGTTTTTACAAAGCAGTCGGGAAAAAAAAAAAGAATAGCAAGAACCCCCCCCCCCCTGCTGTCTAGCATCAGTAATCCTCACTGGTTTGTTTACCATTTATAAGGAAAACGTCATTCAAGGTAGCTTGTCACAGAGACTCTTCGGCAGTAACTGGCCTGCAGTGCAAATGCGTGGCATTTGCCAGTTCATCTGTTTTCTCTGAAAGTCCCTCCTCCTACAATCAAGGTATCTGCTGATGATAATATTCTTCCTCTCTGAAGTAGCTTCCAGCCAAACACAGTAAATCTGGTAACACCTGTCTGAGAATGGTAAATATCCTCATTTTATAGAGGTAAACCAAGTGCAGATAATCAAATTTGCCTGAGGCCAGTCTTTCCAACAGCCAGCCACAGAGCCCAGATCTCACAATCCCAGGTGATTCACCCTGGCTGAAGACTACGCTTCCGCTCTACAGAAGAGTGAAAACTAACTGAGTATGCTGAAATTATTTCTTTCTTCATCCTCTCTAAGAGGACCAGGTCTTTTTCTTGTGCAGCATCAGCTTCTGCGTGACTGCTGGGAAATGGTGTAAATCTATTGTCAAGCTAACACCTGCACCAAGCCCAATCCCAAAGGAGTCGCTGTGACAGGCGATCTGTAGGCAGCTGGACAGTGGGTGAGATCAAGCCTGCGGGTGACACGAGGCACGAGGGAGGTTAGCCTCATCCACCTGCTGACGGGCCTCTCCGGCCTGGCCTCCAGGAACAAGTTCCGCCTCCTTCTCCAGACAGGGGATTATAGCCTAGAAGCAGAGAGGAAAAATCCACTGTATCAATATTCATCCTCGACAGGCCTTCACCAACAAAAATAAATCCCACCATTATTTGCACCTTGTTTATACTTACTACATAGGCAGCATTTTAAGGAAAATGAAAGCAGAGAAAATATCCAGACTTGAAATGGTTTATTTTTGTAGTGCTAATAGTAAAAGCCATTGCAAAACACTCGTGTTTTAATTTGTTCAATTTGGATTAAATTAAATTCAAATTAATTACCATTTAATGTCTCTAAGTCTGCATCAAAGCTTTAAACAGAGCAGTAAGAGTAGCTCTTACAGTAAACTCTGTAAGAGTGTATCTGCTCTCCAAATGCTCTAACAGTTAGGGACTTTAAAAATAATTTTTTATTCCAGTCCTGCAAGGAATACTCTGAGGGTCAAAAGATGGATCCACTCATTACCGCTTGAAGATTTTTTAAAAAGAATTTGAAAAGGCAAGTATATGCAGTAAGGCAAACAGATACTTTAGCTGAACCTCCCAATGCCACAACTACAGGCAGCTTCATTTCACAAGCAAGTACTCAGAAAGATACAACTTGGCAAATGTCCTCAATTTGTTCTATACAAGGCAAAATAAAGAGAAAACCGAAAGCCCAGCAGCCTTGCTACCCAAGCAGGTTTCAAAGCAACCTGTTCCACCGAAACTTCAAGCGTCACTTCCATCTTTGAAGTTTGTTCTTCCCATGCTAGCCAAGTTCTGCTTTCTAGCTAAATTCAGCAGCTGAACAGTGCAGATGGCTCTTTCACTTCGTGCTGATCTACCTCATGAGAAGATCAGAGACCCCTAATTCTGTCATCTGTTACTTCAGCAAAGATTTTGCTTAGGATGAAACTAGGACAGGTAGCAGCTGGCAGGGTGCCTCAGCTCAGCTGCCCCGATCCTGGTTCTTCGCACAGCTATTGCCCACGCGCTCCTCATCCCCCACAGCGGCGAATATTCCGTGCGAGAGCTATAAAAGATAGCTGATGGTGTCAGACATTAGACTGCACTCACATTAAACAACGTAAGATGAATCAATCGGTCAGTTCCTTCAGATGTTGTCAAAAGCTGCCAGCAAAAATATTCAAAGCAGACCTTTCAGCACCGAACTATTATTGAGGTTTAATACATTTAATCAAGAATCTTCAGGTTTCAGATGTTTTACCAAGCGACTTATTCAGCGCTGCACCCTACGTGGGTTTACTTTTCAGTTTGATACTACTGAGGCTCTCTAGATGGTCCCCTCCACTAAGGAAAATTGCAATTAAAATATTACACCCATATTAGCACTTGCAGGTATGGCACAGGCCGTCTGCCCAAGAGGAGAGGAAGCAGACTACCTGCCAGGCCAACGCACGGCAGTGATCCTAACGCGGGCTGTGTAGGGCCGCAGAAAGCAGCTCATCCATCAAGATGATTTCCACGGCTGACAGTGAGTTTAGTGATCAGACCCTCTGGCAGTTGGCGAGGGTTGATAAGATCTGCAGGATTTATCTATTCAATAGGTCGTGATTGTGATAGCTGAAAAATAAGATCACATTTGGCTTTATGAAGTCTTTCATCTCCCTGAATCTACACAATGCAAAATAAAATATCCTCTTCCTACATTTAGTTAGTACCACAGGTGACTGACAGACAGACCAGATATTACAATATTGGGCTTTGGCAATAATGGGGGAGGGATCCCAGAAATACTGTAAGAATCTGCAATTCTGAGTGACAAAAATCTCAGTAGATTATGGCAAAAGCATTTGCAAGAAAACTGAAACACTGCTTCCTCAGGGAAAAGCACCATAGGAACATCCTGCTTGGTTTTGCACAAAGCAGACCATGCTGATTAGAGACAAAGAGCTCATTTGTAAGGCACATTTTGTTTCCTCCCTGAAGAAGAGAAAAAATAGGTGCAAGAGCTATGTATGAAGCTGGATAAGTGCTCTGTTTCAAGCTCAGAATACCTTAAGGATTTCATACTTACCACCTCCTCGCAAGGGCCTTTTGTTTGGTTTAGATTTCGGGACTGCTGATGAGGTAGAGGCACCAGATTCTACTTCTTGCTGCGCACAAAAGCAAAAGTTACTCAGAATTTAATCAATGTGAATTTCAGCTAATCTAACCACATAACCACAATTGTCACCCGATTAACACCACAGTTGTTACCTGATTCAGTTTCAGGTTTCCTTTATAGCTTTTTCCCTCTTGCATACTTTCCCACATTGCTATCTTCTGCCTTCGCTTCTCTTCTTCAAGCTAAGGAACAAATCCAGGACACGCAAGGCTAGGATTTCAGAGCTAACAGATTTGCCAGTGCTACAGGAACAGCTACAACAGATGCATCAAAAACCAAGGGATCTGTCTTTGTCTGACGCCGTGTCTCCGAGCTTATGGAAGCGTTCACGTTTTTGAACACCCACGTCTTCCCAACCACAGAACAACCACCCCTCCTCAATACATACAGACCGTGCCTGCAGCTTCTTTTGACCACTTGATGCTTTAAAGCATCTTGAAAGTCAAACAGAACCAAGTGGCAAGCTTAAGTCCTGAGTTTATAAAAAATACTGAGTAAAAAATACTGCATATGATAGCAATTGAATGCACAAGGTAGGGTTCTACAAAAGAAAATGCGTTTCTCAAATAAACAAGACAGCGAGCTACATATTTACATCCCAACAGACATTATCAACAGTTCTCCCAGCTCTCTTCTGAAGCCATTTATCCACAAAACCAAATAAATTAATCCAGACTGCCGCCTTCTCGACAACTAGAAAGGAAACGAAGTAGCTACTCCATCCAGTTAGAGAAAGCAAAGCTCCCCGAGTCCAAGCACACGAGACCTAGTGGCTGTTTTCTTCCGCAATACGACTTTTCATTCCTTTTTAACTGCCAACATTTCTTGAAGCATCAGCTATAAACCGAGGTCTGAATGTAGCTGGCTGCAAAAGTAAAAATAGAAGAAGAGCTGGGATTTGAGCCGGGATATGAGCAATATTATTGCTATGCTGATCACATCCACTTTTCTACGCTGCCCCACACAGCAATATACTGTTCCTCATTATTTTGAGCTGCAGTTCAAACCATTAAATTACAGCAATGCTATGCTACATTTCTAAGAACTGGTATTTGCCATTAAGAACAGAAAATACATGTATGCAGTAGTACAGTTAATCTAAACGCCAGTAAATCCCCTCCAGCCATTCACTGCACAAATAACTAAGGTTCTGTCGGTATAGATTTACCTGTAAAAAACAAAAAAGAGAAAAAAAGATGAGACCCCCAGTGTCCCACGCACACATTTACTTGTGGAGAAGCAAGTGCCACAGAGATTAATTACTCCAGGAAGGAGCAGAATAGTACACATCTCAATCGTTCTAATCAGCAAAGAGCACCTAGACCTCAGGTTAGCGCAGCGTCAAAGCATGTGCTGGCATCAATGGAGGGCCCTCGTGATACCTGCTGCCCGCTGCTGCTCCGTGGGTCAAACCACATCAAAAGCCGTCCAGGTAAAGGAGGGGGAGAAAACCCACCACCCACATTCCAGCAGAGAGAGCGAGTCTCCCGTTCTTCTGGTGTCTAGCACGGAACAGACCTTTCTGTCACGGCAGCAAAGTACTTGATGACAAATTTATGAGTTAAAGAAAGAAATGCTCTCTGGTTACCTGTCTTTGTTTTTCTTTGTATCTTTCTGCTTGCGCATTCAACTCCTCTTGCATCCTGAGGCGAGCCGCTGCCAAAGCTTCCTGCCTTCTCACCACCATGTCAGGATCTAGGAAATTGGGAAAGACTTTGCAGAGCTATTCAAAATCAATTCTAAATGGCGTCCTCAAAGAATTGTAATAAGGAAAGGCTCACATCTCTCCCTGCAGCTGTTCTGCGGAAAATCACAGCTCAAGTTCAGTTTCCAGCTAATCATTTCCAGTAATTTATACACTGATTTAAATTTCATAACATTTTAAGATTTTTAGAGCAATTGATTTAATGGAATTTTAATAAATAAGGACACTGATGTAACTCACCCACAAAACAAATTAAAATTCACACTTCTAGGGTACTTGTTTCTATTTCTGAAGGACTTGTTTGATACAAATAATTCCAGAAATATCACCCATGCTTTGCAGGGATTCCATTTTTATCCAGAGAACTTCTTTTACGCAGAAGCATGAGGCAACCGGCCCACATTCGCTCCCACTCTTTCTGGCAATTGGTCCTGCTTGTTTCCTTACAGCAGTGAAGCAGTGGCAGATTGAACACGCCCCATCAGCAGAGAAATTACTTACAAATATCACACATATCTCAAGAGAAAAGTGGCAGTCTCAGAAAATCTACATTGGGTAACCCCCTCTCTTCGTGGCTGGCCTTTATGAGAAGTCAAAATGAAGATTACATCCAAACGAAGGCAAATATCGCTCTCTTTTTTTCCCAGTAGCTGAAGTATCTCTACATTTTTTTTTCTCCTTACATGTTTGCTACCATACAATGGTGAATATGTAAAAGAAATTGCAGTACTATCAGTAATCCCACTTCATTGGCAGTTTTTGGCAGTTAAATCAAGATTTAATTAGCATTGTAAAAGAACACCAGTCAGGCCCCATCTGGAGTACTGTGTCCAGTTCTGGGCTCCCCACTTCAAGAAAGATGAGGAGCTACTGGAGAGAGTCCAGCGCAGGGCTGCAAGGATGGTGAGGGGACTGGAGCATATCTCCTATGAGGAAAGGCTGAGGGAGCTGGGCTTGTT